GTGGACTCCATCATCATGGAGCTGCGTGAGCTGCACGACGAGCTGCGACGCCTTGAGGGCCCCTCCAAGGAGGAGATCCAGGCGGTGAAGACGGCCGTGAAGGTGCCGGGCAAGACGGACGCACCGACCCTGTCGGAGGAGAACCGCTTCCCGAAGTTGGCGGAGATCTCGGCTGGCAAGGACCTGCCGTTCTTCTCCCGTGCCGAGGTTGCCAAGCACAACACTGCCGAGGAGCCTTACATGATCATCCACAACCGCGTCTACAACCTGAAGCCTTTGCTGGGCAGCCACCCCGGCGGCGACGACATCCTGATGTCCAAGGCAGGCACGGATTGCACCAAGGACTTCGAAGTCTTCGAGCATTCCGAGAAGGCCCGAGTGCAGCGAGATCGCGACATGCTGGTGGGCCAGCTGGTGCCGGCGGAGAACACGGACTGGTCGGAGTCGGCAGCAGTGCAGCAGGTGGTCGGCGAGGAGACTTCTGAGATTGGCCGCTACCTGAAGTACAAGGTCACGGACGTGGCGGTTGCTGCCCTGGCTTGGTACCTCTTCAAGACCTTCCAGAACCGCAAGCCTTTGTCGCAGTTCACCTACAGCCGGGCCTTGAGGCACCTGCACCTCATCATGGCCGTGGGCATCTTCGGTGCTGTGGGCACCGCTCAGGCCGCATCCTACTCGGAGGGTCAGGCCAAGAAGCAGATGCTCTGGTGGCACAAGCAGACGGGCATCCTGATGCTGGTGGCGCTTGTCTTCCGAGTGATCTTCCGAATGCAGAGCGGCATCCCACCGCGCTTCCCAGGCAACAAGCTCGTGCAGATGATCGAGACACAGAGCCTGCGGGCCTTCTATGCCTTCGCCCTGCTGCTGCCAGTGTCCGGCATCGCCAACGAGTACTTCCTCAAGTGGGCACCGGGCTCCGACAAGACCGGCAACGCCGAGGACGATCGCAGGAACGACCGCCTGGCTAAGCAGTCCATTGATGCCCACAAGGTCCTGGGCAAGGTGCTGCAGTACGCCTGGCTGCCCTTCCACCTGGGCTACACCACCCTCTACCACTACTCCCAGGGCAGGGGCGTCGTTCGCAAGGTCTCCCCCTTCATTTAAGATGCGTCCGTCATCACTAGACTCTAGACAGGAGGAGAGGAAGAACTGCTTCTGTCAGTGCTAGCTTGTCTCACCCTTTTTAACCGTCGGCTTCTCAAGACGGTCACATGCACAGTCGAAGCCATCATGTTTCGGGTGGGTGAATAAGGTGTCAGCTTGCTGTACCTGACGACCCGAGCTCAAGTTTTGAGTGCTCTAGTTCAAAGACATGTCCACCAGGCGTTCGTGGCGCGACGGAATCTGGCGTGTCATTGAGAGCACAGTTTCGTTCAGCGTATCAGCATCGGAAAAAGGCTTGCTCCTGCATCGCGACTGGCATAGTGCTGAGCTGATCCCTAACCCTGCAGTTCTCAAGCCTGGAAGCCTGAGCCCTACAACAGTCCGAAACCCAAAGAACTCTGATCGCCGAAGCAATTGAAGTCTCCAAGCGCTTCACGCACAGCCCTTGCTATTTCGCTTCGCTCCTGTGACCTACGATCATGGCAGCCAAGCCTACCGACGAGCACCCAGCCAGCGTGCCGTGGCAACATGTGTTGCATAGGTTATAGTCCTAGTAGATTATAGTGTATTACAGTATGTTGTAGTTTGTTATGGTATACTCGAGTATATCAGTATGTTATGGTATATAACCGTATCGTATAGTATCGTATGGTATATTCTACTCTAATCTATTATGTTTTACTAAATGACCCTCTGCCCTTGTTACTATAGACCCCTAAGCCCTAAACTGTAAACCCTAAGCCCTGAGCCCCAAAGAATAGCGAAGCTCCAAACCTCCGAGCTTGTGACAGTAACGGTGGCGTGGTAGGCCTCGAGATTATTGGGTTTTGGGGCTTAGGGTTTGTGTTTTCGTTTGCAAGCCGCTAGGATGTAGTTTCAGGTTGATCGGGATAGCAGCATGAGGGCATGAGGGCTTCTTGATGTTTGGCTCCCTTCTGTCCTTGTCCTTGTTTCTTTAAGGATCCTGCCATTAGGTCTGCATTGTCCCCCACCCCCCTATTCTCTGAAGTCCCGCATCCTGCTCCGAGAATCTGCAATCGGATTTTCCAAGCCAGGGCTCCCGGAATTTGTACGAAATAAGCTGCGGATCCGAATTGCTTTCATCCTAGCCCGATAGATCCCTTTGTCATAAACCTCTATCTCCCTCCCAAACTCTACACCTCAGGTTCTTAAGCCCCTAAAGCCACCAAGCCCTACATCTTGATTGCTTGGAGGTCCCTGACTTCAAGCAGAGAGTGATCCACGAGCCCGGCACTTCCGCCATCTCCAAGAACATCCCCCTCTCTGAGGCGGGTGCTCAGGGCTTGTATATGGGCTTTAGGGCCTATAGGGTTTAGGGTTTTAGGGTTTAGGGTTTAGGGTTTTAGGGACTAGTTTATATAGGGCTTAGCTCGGTTGTGAACTGGGTTTTGGGTTGAGAGTTTAGAGTTTAGGGATCATGGAAGAGAGTCCAGGGGGCACGGTGCTCTCGCCGTTCTTCTCTCTGGTTAGCCCATAGCTTCGCCAGAACCCTACGAAAGCCCTCAGCCCTAAACCCTAAACCCTAAATCCCAAAAGCCTAAGACACATGGAAGAGTTTAGGTGGAGTGCAGGATTCAGCGTTTAGCCAAGGCCCCGAAGCCCGAAGCCCAAAAGGCCTTTTCAGCCGAAGATCCTGAACCCTCGAAGCAGTAGAGCCCAATGAAAGGGTTCCGTAAAAGGGTTCCTTTGATTAAACGGGTTCCTTTAAAGGGTTCCCTTAAAGGATTCCTTTAAGGGTAAGGTCTAGGAGTTTAGGGGTTGTGCTCGAACCTCACTCTTCGGAAGCCTCTTGGGCTTGCTTGAGGTTGGCCTAACCTGTTCGAAAGCCGAAGCGCCCTGGAAGCTCTAAACCTTTGATGCTGACTCTTACCACAGCCAAAACTTGATAATTAGACTAGGGCTTTTGGGGGTTTATTGTACGATTATTATAACTTATAACAAGGAACCCCCCAAAATAGTACGGGTAATTATTGAGGCCCCTATACTAAGATCAACTTTAACTATTGCTGTGCCCCTATACGCTCTGAACCGCTGATGCACTTCTGCCCAGGTGAACCGTCATTGCACGCCTGAGAACTGCTGGGTGGCTCTGAACGGCAAGGTGGGCTTTGCTGTCTGGAGTTCCGGGAGTGAGGGCTCGCAGAGTTCAGGACAGCGTCAACACCGGCCTCGGGGCACATTGCGGTTATGATCTCGGGCTATGCTGGGTCTGCATGCCAAGAACAAGACACGGTGTACACCCAAGCGGATGTAGCAAAAATGCTGGGCTTGTTATATCACGACTCGTCCAAAACCCTAACAACACCCAATCCCCCAAAACGCAGCATCCTTGCAGGTCTATGACCTCTCCGAGTTCATGGATCGTCATCCCGGTGGCCCCACGACCATCCTCGCCTGGGCGGGGAAGGACGCCTCGAAGTTCTTCAACGACATCCACAAGGGCGTGAAGATGCTTGGCTTGGGCTTTTGCGGAATTCGTAGGTCGCGAGTAAGTGAGCGAGGCAGAAAATCAGCATTCCTGTCCGTCTATCCGTGGGTCCCTGATTCCACCGCATCTCTGCCTGTCTCTCTTTCTCTGCCTGCCTGCCTGCCTGCCTAGATGTATGTAGGTATGCATTGTATGTATGTACTGGTTATCAACCTAAACCCTAAACCCTAAACCGTATTGATTTATCTCCAACTGCATTTTCAGCGGCCAAGGATCGACGCCTACTTGCGACCGGAGGCTTTCCTGGGCGACCTGGGTGTGGACGAGAACCTGATGTCGGACCAGTTCTGGCACACGCTGCGCGAGGCGCCTTTCTTTTGGGGTGAGGGAGCAAAGTTTGGAGTTCAGGGCGATTCTGGGAGTTTCAAAGCCTCAGGGTGCCTGATTTGGGGAG